TTTCTGTGCGTCACGATGGTCGCCTGTGCGTGAGCCCACACGCGTATATATAAAAATAGAAAAGAGAAGCATTAATATATTTGTGATTTGAGGGCAATTTGTCAAGATCAGAATGTGAACGGACTCATCTAACGGCAGTAGCTGCTTGCAACGCGGCTTACATGACGACAAAAGAATGTTTGTTTCAAACATTGAGCCTCTACAGAACATTTGTACAAGTTGACCGGCCACTAGTCATAAAAACAAAAGATTTACTCACCTGTCGGTTCAGTAATATATATGCAATTTCTCTCCTTCTTTCTTTCTCTACGCACACAAGCGCACACACACACACACACACATCTATCTGTCTATCTACCGATATATATATATATATTTTTGTTCTAAAGAAAAAAATGGGGTTGTTATTTATTAATCCGAGAGATTTTTATTGATTCAAAGTTATTTTTAGTGGATACTCGTAGTTGAGTAGGTGTTCCGTTTATTTATTAAACAGTGATTATTTTCGTCTACCGGCCTGAATAATCGAGAAATCTTATTAGAAAAATTACGCGTTCATCGGTAGGTGACACATAGATTCGAATCCTTCCGGAGAACGAGTATTTAAACAGCGTTTACTCAAAGATGAATGCCATCTAGAAAAAACGTTTGGATTGGTTTATTTTGTTTTACGGCATATCAACCTCAATGGGTTATTTAATGCCGACAAATTTTTTAGGATAGATTCGTATGAAGAGAATATGTATTCTTTGGTTAAGATTGGTTTGGTTTATTTTGTTTAACGGCATATCAACCTCAATGGGTTATTTAATGTCGACAACATTTTTAGGATAGATTCGTATGAATAGAATATGTATTCTTTGGTTTAGATTGGTTTGGTTTATTTTGTTTTACGGCATATCAACCTCAATGGGTTATTTAATGCCGCCAACATTTTTAGGATAGATTCGTATGAATAGAATATGTATTCTTTGGTTTAGATTGATTTGGTTTATTTTGTTTTACGGCATATCAACCTCAATGGGTTATTTAATGTCGACAATTTTTTTTTATTGCTAGTAATATTTTGCTTTGTCAAAAATCTGTTTCTGGTAATATATTTCCTTCAAATTTGTATTGCTGGTAATAATTATTTTCAAAAAAGTATTGCTAGTAATAGTTAACTATTTTCCCATAGTTAGGGCCCTAACAGGTGCTACCACCCCGGGTCAGTGTGGACCTGGTAACACCAGCAATTAAAAGTGGTTCCACGATCCGCAAAACCTCCTAATCAGAAGCCTTGCTGCTGGAAGTAGTCTAACGTCTTACCCAGGACGTCTAGAAATAAATTTTTTATATATATATATATATATATATATATATATATATATATATATATATATACGAGCAGTTTACATAGGTGACCCGCTGTTTCTTTTATCCTTAACTTACCGTATTTCCTATGAGTGACAGATTCCCCTTGCTCTTTTTCCACATTATGTGGCCTAGAAATGTCAACCGTCGTTCTGATTCTAAATATGTGTCCTTTTCTTTGACACATCAGCGTGGTGTAATGGTTAGAGAGCTTGTCTCGTTAGATCAATTACGACAGAGTAGTGAGTTCGTTACTCAATAATTTCGTCCTTGTGCCTCATCTAAGCTACGCTTAGAAAATTTATGTGTACCGGTTTCATTTCAATTTGCCTTAAAACTTCCTCTCCTCAACATCCTTCTGTAGAACTACATTTCTCTCTTTTCAAATCTCCTCTTCTTCATCTGTGAGGAAATTGTTCAGATTCCACAGCCATAGGGAGGCGATAACCCACCACAAAGCAAGAAAGTGTGGGAATGAAAGAGAAGACTTTAAAAGGAAGCGAAAACCCAATCCTAAACAGGAAATAAGGGATAACCCTCGACTCCTGTTCAAAAGACAAGGGAGGAGTGTGAGCCGGACGACAGGCGGATCTATCTACTCCGATTGTAGGAGAATTGTTATAACGTAGCCGTTCGACATTCTTTTCTATGGGTTTAACAAAATGTCCCTCTTTCTTAATACTTTGGCTTTTGGAAGGCATTTTTTGCTAATCTAATGTGTCTCCTGGTTTCTTCCAAGATAGTTAAATGATATGTCCCGGAAAGGGATACATTTGCTCGAAGTAGCAAAGAGGCTTTGGACTACTGTAACCGAGTAGGACAATCTAGCAGTAGTAGTGGTAGGCAATAGGCGTAGGCAATAGGCGAAAACAATAGGCGTAGCCAATAGGTGTCCAATAGGCGTCGTCCTGTACCTCCACATCAGTCTGTATTTATGTCTGACACCAGCCAATCATATTACTGTGAGGGGGAACCCAGGTGTATGCATATTCATTACATCATTAAATTCATGCATTTACTTTGAATTAGGATTGTCACTGTTGCTAACGACCATACAATCTGTCTTCTTAAAGTAGACAGTTAATCCTTTCTTCCAGCTTTTCTTTACTATCTACTTTATTTATATTCTGACCTGTACTCATGAGATAATCGTAACACATATTCTGTGTGTTATAAGCTTAAGTTTCGTTAATGTACATTCATTGAAATTATATTTATGGTGGCGTAATGCATTATGAAATGGAGGTCAGCTCCGAGAAATCCAAAGTAATGGTGAATAGCATAAACAGTAACACCTGTGTCAACATTACTATGAACGGGCATTTACTAGAGGAAGTGTCTAGTTTTAAACACTGAGGAGCAATCATGTCTAAAGTTGGAATTTGCAACTCGGAAATCCGCACACAGATTGCCGCAGCCATGGCAGTGATGGCCAAACTGGCAAGAATATGGAGGACTAAAATCAGCTTTCAAACGAAGTACAGACTGTACAAAAAGCTAGTCTCTTATTTTTCCTATATGGATGTGAATCGTGGACACTGTTGGCAGAAACGGAGAGAAGCATCGAAGCGTTTGAGAACAAACGAATAAGAAAGCTCCTTGGCGTCTTCTATTGTGAAAATAAAACCAATGTGTTTGTGCGGAAAAAGGGTTGAAAGTTCTGCTGGCCGCCAGGAACCTGTTTTTTACCAGTCAAACGGAGAAAAATCGCGTGGTTTGGACACATTACAAGGAATGACAGTCTGTGCAAGACCATTATGCAAGGCACCGTTGAAGGTGGGTGTAGGAAAGGAGGCCAATTCAAAAACTGGTTGGACAATATCAACCAATGGACAAGTATGACTATTCCAGAATTGCTGATGGCTGCCTTCGATAGACCGTTGTGGAGGAGATTCAATATGGCTTCTGCATTCGGATCCCCGCTACGATAAGTGGATAATGATGATAAGATGAATAAATCTATCCTATTCTTCTTCTTCATCTTCTTTTTTCCTTCTTCTTTAATGTATCCTTTTTTATTTTGACATTGTCCAACGCAAAAACAATGTCAAACAATGGACAAGTATGACTATTCCAGAATTGCCGTTGATAGACCGTTGTGGAGGAGATTCAATATGGCTTCTGCATTCGGATACTCCCTACGATTACAAAAGTCAAGAGGAGGATGATGATGATGATGATGATGATGATGATGATGATGATGATGATGATAATGAATGTCTACATTTATGAAGCCATATCCATTTATTTGAATAATATATATTTAAATAGTTTCATTAGTCAAAGTTTTAACACACACAAACATACATAAATATGATAATAAAAATATATTTTTAAGGTATGCTATATTTCTGGGTTAAAATGCTCAATATCAGGGATAGAGAGTATGTAAATAAAAAAAAAACTGAACATTGAGGTCAACACGCATCGGCGGCAGTGTGTTTCATGCTTGGACGGAATCTTCAGACCATATATGTGTATATCGAAGAAATATGATATATACGTTTTTATATATAAAGAAAACAGGCAAATAAATGTCAAGAAATCATTGTAACGCGTTTCGTTCTCTCGTAAGACTTCATCAGACTAAAGTAACGTTTACGTTTCACCTTAAGCAATGCAATGAAATCTACTAGGCTACAAAGGGTACTGCGAATGAAGGAAAACAGACGATAATAAGACGACAGGATTCAAGTGGACTGAAGAGGACGACTTCTTTCAAATATCTTAGTCGATAGAAAATCAGGAAGACGGAGGAGATTTTTTCAAGCGACAAATGCCGTGGAATAAACTATTGGCGTATAATTTATAGTTATGGTTAGGCATTTATTTAGTGGGAACATACGTTTGAGAAGACATCCTCGTTTGGAGAAAAAGAAAGAGAGTGAATGAAACATATAATAGAGCTGGAACTGTCTGAGGATTGCTTCAGCGCGAGAGAGTGAAAATAACATTGAAATTTGTACCTGGTTATTGGCTCCTAACAATCATATATATATATATATATATATATATATATATATATGTGTGTGTGTGTGTGTGTGTGTGTGCGTGTATGTGAGTGTGTGTGTGTGTCTTTTTCGCGAAGAAGGCACCATCTATGTTTCCTAATGAAATTGTTACATTCACACGGACGTCAATAATTGAACACAAGTTAAATGCCATAATTTTTAACAATTGTACTATATATGGCCTAAACCCACCTCTCTCTCCTTCCTCCCTTTTCTTTCTCATTCGTCTTTCTCTCCGTCCCTATCTATCTATCTATCTATCTATCTATATATATATATATATATTTACACACGCTCTATCTCTGATATTGAGCACTTTATCCCATAATATAGCACAACTTAAGACTATATTTCTTCATATATATATATATATATATATATATATATATATATTGATTTCAATAATGAATATGCTTATAAAACGCGTAAATTTCAGAAATACGTTATTCCCAAAAATTTCGCTTGAAGATGGAACAGAGCTTAGTACTTTAATTCAGTTTAATTCAAATAATTATATTGAAGTTTTCGGCTTTTGTTTTGAAACATGAGAACTCTTATGTAGCGTGTTGGAATCATATTTTAAAATAAATAATTATATATATATATGTATAAAGAGTGAGAAAAATAGGAAGAGAT